GAGCGGTTGGGTTAGAACGGATAAAAGGAAGTACTTCTTCACCCAAAGAGTGATTCACACATGGAATTCACTGCCACAGGAGGTGGTGGCGGCTACAAGCATGGACGGCTTCAAAAGGGAATTAGATAGGCATATGGAGCAGAGGTCCATCAGTGGCTATTAGCCACAAGGTATAGATAGGGGCTCTGGGGCAAGTGATGCTCTGTCTTCGTGTTGCTTGGGGGGGTCCATGTTGGAGGGCCTGGACATGCCCAGCCTGTTGATCCAGGACGGGCCACCAGCCCCTCCACGGACACAGAGCCAAAGACTCGTTGAATCTGTGATGTGAGACGGTTGGCCACAAGTCATGTATTGTGTTGTTTGGCCCTAAAAGCAGCTGGTGCTGGCAGGGGCAGTATCAGCCCCCCGGGCAGACAACCCAAGCAAGCACTGCACCCTTCTCAGAACATCAAAGCTTTGCCACTGTGCCAACGAAGCCCAATTTCTGTCTGCCCTGGAACAACCCCCCCCCTTCCTCATAACCCAGACCAGGGACAAGGCCAATGCTCTTACCTGATGTCTTGCTTTTATCTGCATGTCCACCCAGCTCCTGCAGATCAGAGTATTGGAAACACCATTCATGAAGATTCAGAAAATGCAGTCCGGCAGAGTTTTAACAACATTCAAAACCAGTGGGGAGCCCGCAAGGACTTTCAGGGATCACTTCGTTTCCCCCATATCCCTTCCCCTCACTACTTCCTCTTTCTTTCCTCCAGGCAGCCCCCACAACCTCTCCCCTTTTCCTGCTTCCTGGGAGGCCAAAATAGCCCAGTAAACAGCCCTGCCATTTACTTACAGAAACCGAGGTTTGAAAGCTGGCAATATTGTTGCGGTTGTCTAGCAATTCCCACAATGGCCACTGAGATCTCACAGGGCATTCATTTCTCAAAGGTACAAGCACTGCTTCTATTATCTGGGGGGATTTTAAACCCCCGATTTGTTTTTTTCAAGATTTCAGATTTTGATGCGAGCCTAGGGCTTTTCTCAGATGTGTAGAAACATCTTTCTTGTCTGTTCATGGCTCAAATCTCTGGATTTAAGTATCCACAGAGGGGGCTACACTGAGAATGAGATACACTGAATTAAAGTACAAGGGGCAGAAGAAGGAGAGAGAAGAGACTGGATTTATACCCCTTCCTTTCCCCTTCCCCTCCCCACAATAGACACCCTGTGAGGTAGGCGGGGCTGAGAGAGCTCTGACAGAAACTGCCCCTTTTCCAGAACTGCTCTTATCAGAACTATGGCTTGCCCAAGGTCATCCAGCAGCTGCAAGTGGAGGAGTGGGGGATCAAACCCAATGCTCCCAGATTAGAGTCTGTGCACTTAACCACCAGTGGCAAAGAGCAATGTTTCTTTAAGGGCTGGCTGCACGAGGGGTCCCTTGAGGAAGACCAGAGAGTAGTCCGGTTGATATGGACCTGGCATTTGAGAGAACCACCCATCCTCCCCAAACACCAGTGCGAGTGTCTAAAGCAGGGGTGGGCACGTTTCCCCACCTGACGGCCACATCTCAGTCACTGCTCACTCTTGAGGGCTCCAAGTTCGGAACCAGCTCTTCCTGCTTCCAAAGCCAGCACTGCCCACTAGAAGTGGCTGCAGTCCAGGAGGGGAAGGAGGGGAAGGAGACTTAGAGCAGGGGCCTCCACCGTCTTCATCCCGCACGCACCTTTGGAGTTCTGACACCGTGTGCTGGGCACAGCCACAAAATGGCTGCCGCAGCTTACCTTCGATCACACAGTGAAGACCTGTGTGCTGTGGTAGCAGCTGCTGCTAAAGAAACGCTTTTAAAAATCTGGACATCCAATCAGATGTCCAATGGCCAGTCAGAAGCTTTGCTAGGCTCTACCCACTTGGGCACCAGGAAAAATGCCAGTGGGCGCTGTGCTGCTCCTAGGCACCACGCTGCAGACCCCTGGCTCAGAGGGCTTAGATGTTGGGATTTACAAGTTCTCTCTCTGTCGTCATGAAAGAACTGACTGCTTGCTTATGCACGCTGGTGTCATAGCTAGTTTAACTTCAGAGACCCAGTGACCAGGTCTGCACATATTTGCCGCCAGCGCAAGGTGGCAAAATGCATAATTGGTTAACACTGGGATTCTCCAGTTGGGTAATCAATACTTCGGGGGTGGTCTCCGCTTTACTGCTTTCTGTCCTTCTCCTCTAGTTCCTCCTCACACAAGTTTTAGACGTCGCTAAGTAAAGACGCAGGACAAAGCAGCTAGACAGGACGATGCTCCTGTAAAAAGGTAAAGGTAAAGGTTCCCTTGCTCGAAAGCCAGTCGAGTCCGACTCTAGCACCGTCTTCATCCCGCACGCACCTTTGGAGTTCTGACACCGTGTGCTGGGCACAGCCACAAAATGGCTGCCGCAGCTTACCTTCGATCACACAGTGAAGACCTGTGTGCTGTGGTAGCAGCTGCTGCTAAAGAAACACTTTTAAAAATCTGGATGTCCAATCAGATGTCCAGTGGCCAGTCAGAAGCTTTGCTAGGCTCTGCCCACTTGGGCACCAGGAAAAATGCCAGTGGGCGCTGTGCTGCTCCTAGGCACCACGCTGGAGACCCCTGGCTCAGAGGGCTTAGATGTTGGGATTGACAAGTTCTCTCTCTGTCGTCATGAAAGAACTGACTGCTTGCTTATGCACGCTGGTGTCATAGCTAGTTTAACTTTAGAGACCCAGTGACCAAGTCTGCACATATTTGCCGCCAGAGCAAGGTGACAACATGCATAATTAGTTAACACTGGGATTCTCCAGTTGGGTAATCAATACTTTGGGGGTGGGCTAGAGAGTGAGCCCTGGGTTTCCGCTTTACTGCTTCCTGTCCTTCTCCTCTAGTTCCTCCTCACACAAGTTTTAGACGTCTCTAAGTAAAGACGCAGGACAGAGCAGCTAGACAGGGTGATGCTCCTGTACTGTTTGGTTATTTTCAACTCCCAGGTTACCCTCCCTCATTAGTAAAGTATCTCTTTAAAAGCTAATACAAGTGAGAGTCCCCTGGACTGCAAGGAGATCGGATCACTCAATCCTAAAGGAAATCAGCCCTGACTGTTCCCTCGAAGGCCAGAGACTGAAGCTGAAGCTCAGGTACTTTGGCCACTACCAAATGAGAAGGGAGCCCTCACGGGAGAAGACCCTGATGCTGGGAAAGACTGAAGGTCAAAGAAGACGGGACGACAAAGGATGAGATGGTCAGACAGAGTTATCAATGCAACGAACATGAAATTGAGCAGACTCCGGAGGACGGCGGAAGACAGGAGGGCCTGGCGTGACGGGGTCCATGGGGTCGCGAAGGGTCGGCTGTGCGACTGAACAGTCTTTGAGGTGCTACTACGACTCTTGCTCTTTTCAAGGTAAAGGTAAAGGTTCCCTTGCTCGAAAGCCAGTCGATTCCGACTCTAGGGTTGCGGTGCTCATCTCCGTTTCCAAGCCAAAGAGCCAGCGCTGTCTGAGGATGTTTCCGTGGTCATGTGGCCGGCATGACTAAACACCAAGGCACACGGAACGCTGTTACCTTCCCACCGAAGTGGTACCTATTTATCTCCTTGCAATTTCTTGCTTTCGAACTGCTAGGTTGGCAGGAGCTGGAACTAGAGACGGGAGCTCACTCCATCATGTGGCAACTCGGGTCTCGAACTGCTGAAGTACAGACCTTCCACAGCCTGCAGTTCAGCATCTTAACCCCTTGAGCCACCGCTCAAAAGGAAGGTCAAACTAAAAGAAATTCCCCTTCCCGTCAGGTTTGGGGCTCTGCCTGTTCCTAAGGCGAGGCCCAGGGAAGACTCACCGGCTCCTGAGGTCTGGCAGCCCCGTCCGATTGGCTGAGCAGGTACTGAAGTCTCTTCTCGGCGCTAAGCTGGTCTGACAGCAGCTGGGAGAGGTATTT